TACTTAAGTATGTAAAAATTTATTACATTTCCTGTTGTACGAGGGTTTTACCCAATTCTCGAACCGTGTCAGAGTGAATCCGTGCTATAAAAGTACCGTGTTATACGGGGGATGGTACCAATTCTCGAACCGTGTTAGAGCGAATCCGTGCTATAGAAGTGCCGTGTTATACGGGGGTTACCTGTATCTTATTATAACTATCACAAAGTTATTCTCTCATTCTAAAACGACTTCGAAATGTAAAATTATCATACGTCAGTATAATAGATTCCGAATACATTTTATCGGAAAATAACGATCCATTTCGTTGATTACAATTAATTAATAATTGCTTCATTAATTTCATCACGATCTGACGTAGCTTCCATTTGAATAATTGTATTGATTACTTCATCCTTTTCGACCAGTTCGTTTGCGACAATTGTTGCAATCATAATTTTAACTTCGTCCACCATTTTGTCCAGCTGTCTAACTAGGAATAATTGTTCAATGATGCTCGGAACATTCTTAGTTCTGCCCACTAAGACACTCAGAATTATAACTTAGGTACAGTAATACCCCGACTTACGCGAACCCGGAGTTACGCGATTTTCAAATCTCGTCGATTCGTCTTTTGTTTGAGCGCCACGCAACCCTTGTTTACTCACTCCCCCCACACTATTGTTCAGCTTACATGTTCGGATGTGTCGCGCGGAATCGACACATAGCTACAATTTATTTTGGTTATTTATTTCTGTGTTTGTTATATCTACGGACACTTGAGAAACTCTACTATGTCGTCCAAACGAAGTACAACTAATTCTTCTGCATCAAACAAGAAAAGAAAAACTTTATCTATGGAATGTCAAGTTAACATTGGGTATGTTCGTAAAGTCGAACGAATTAAACGAGAATGACGTTATCGTTATTCCTATTTCGTTAGACTTTTCGAACGATTCGTTACTAACGCGTTTAACTCATTTGACTTTACGAACGTACCCATTATTAAAGACTTCGATACAAAAATGAAAATTTGTGAATTGGCAATGAAGTTTGATCTACCGGAATTGTCGGTCAGAACAATTATAAAAGGCAAAGAAAAAATTCTCGAAGCTGTGAAAAATGCTCAATCTTTAAATTCAAGCATCATT